ACGACGACATCGTTGAAGAATATTGTAAGACATGTTTTGGACAAATGTTTCGTTTGATCGCAAAATACACGACAATTAAAACTTTGGGTCTTTTGTGTAATGATTTGAGTGGAAAGACAGCCGTTTTTTGTAAACAACTCAATGATTTCGACTACTTATCGGCTATTCATTTGAATCGTTATCTTCACTATAATCCAGAGATTTACACAAATATTTGCCGACAATTGATAACTGATTTCATCGATTGGTATTCAATAGATCCGAAGAAGTGGTTTACAATCTCTGTTGACAACATTGCCGGAGATATCAGTAATGGTCGACAAATACCAAGAAATCTGAAGATCAGAAAAAGTTTGTTTTAAAAACTATTCAATTCATACAAAGATTACATTAAATTTTATTTCATTAGTCTTTAAATTATATCAAAATGTATTGATTATATTGTAAAGTATATAAAAATTAATTATTTTTCTTATGAAACAATATTTCTATCAATATATGCATTAAATTTATTCATTACTAAATGACAATTTTAAAATTAATTTGGGAAATTATTCAGCATGTAATTTGTTAGTCAAATTTAACCGAAAAATTTTAATTGTTTGTATTATTCGTAACCAAATTTATTACTCTAAAAATGTTTCAATATTAAATTAAGTTATTTACATTTGTATATAAATACTATTTATATTTAAAGTAAAAGTTATTTAAAGTTTTATTTCAATTGCAAATACAGTAAATGTAAATTAAATTTTCATATAAATCTCGCACAACAACTATCTGTGAGTTTGAAAACTAGTCATTAATTTCTTCAAAAGTAAAATCAATTCATATTTCCATTAAAACATTTAACAATAAAATAGTTTCAATGATTAGATTAAGACATTTATTGGCAAAGTATTCGCAAAAGTGTGCAAAAGTTTATTTATAATTAAAATTTATAACAATTTACTATAAAATATGTTTAATTTATTGAAAAACAGAAATATACTTTTGGTAACGGTTCCCATAATTGGTACCGTTGCTTAATAATCATTAATAATGATTCATTATATAAGTTATTTCATAATTGCTGCAAATTATAGTAAATTGCAATTTATTCATTGATACAAATGCAACAAACTTTTGTCACTTTTTATATTGTTTTCTATTACAGTAAATACTGGTTTGAATTAAATTATATGAATTCTATAAAGAATGTTTACATGTTTATAATAATTTATTATCAATTGAAAAATAAAATTAACATTTATATCAAAACAAAATAAATAAATAACTAAATAATGTCTTATTAATTACTTTCTCATAACTTTGATATTGAAATGAGTTTCTCTCCAAACGTAATAATTCCTAAAACCATTCAAAACGTCGACTCCGAGAGTGAGACAGACATCCAAAGCGAAGAATAGACCCAAAAGTGACAGCACTTGAGATCCGGTGTTATATCCGATGTCATCAATGCGTCGGATCGAGTGATCCAAACATACGTACGATAAGTACGAGTGAAAGCCATAACAAACGCAACGCAAACCGATAAACAACTTGTGTTCAGACATGTAAGCCAACAGTCCTTTCGGTTGTCTCACGGACTCAATGCCTCGATATTCGCCGCGACAGACATTACACACAATCCTTCCCGAGGTTTCCATCCATTGCTTCAGACATTGAAAGTGTGTATAACCAGTGGTTCCGCGACAGTCACACGCCATCAACATATCGTTCACATTGTTTTCATCCTTACAAATGCTGCAAATCTTTACCGATTCTGCCATTTCTTTGCTGTAAATACTGTTTTGTAATACAAAGTATTAATTAATAAAATACCGTTAAATAGGTTTTATTTTTAGACATTAACGGAAATACATTTTATTTTTAAAGTAATATAAAATAGATTTATTGTTTGATTGTGAGATTCAAAAAAGTTAATTGTTTAAATTCTTACAAAATTCAAAATATATTTCAAAAATATAATTAAAAATAGTACTTCATTCAAAATGAGTGCCAATATAACCAATATAACAAAAGTTAAGTTTCTTAAGACAGTTGTCTTAAATCACGATTTGGTGATTGAAATCTTCTCATATTTATCCATCGATGATATGATACGTCTGGAGAGAGTCTCACAGCAGTTCCAGTTGTGTTCAAACTATTGGTTCCGACAACAAAAGGGCATATCATTTGACAATTATTTACTCAGCGGTTACTATAAGCCTAAGTCAGATGTGTTGCCCAAATCATACTTATTTCCCGACGGCTTTCTTAAGACCCAATCGGACGGAAAGACATGTCTTATCGCCAGTAAAGAGCGAATCCTTTGGTTATCGCAAAAGTTGCCAAACATTGAGTATTTATCAATCGGTTATTTCCACACAGATTTTCAGACACTTTATGATATTCTCGATGCTATGAAATCATTGAAAACTCTGGTCATCGGTCGACTAAATTACTTGAGTGATCAACAGAACAGACATTTGGGACAATTGTTGTCACAAAGAGTCACAAAATTATACACAGATATTTGGGACGATAATAACGGGAATGGCATTGACTTAATTAAAGAGTTGTCCCGATTGACGACATTGTTTATAAATTTTAACCCAACGGATAATATGATAGATTTATTTAAATGTTTGCCAAAATGTATTAAATCTATGAGATTATCCAATCTCGACTCCAATACACAACTGACGGCAAAATTATTGGAAAGTAATGCAAAACATTTGGATTGTTTGTATGTAAATGGCATTTCAATAGATGTATTGGAGCTCATTATCAATGGCATGGATTTGAAAGCATTTAAATTTTTTGGTGGCCAACAAATGAACAATGGATGGCATTGTCTGCAAAGAGTGGCCCAAAAGCAGACAAATCTCGTATATTTGAGACTACTATATCTGAATCTTTGCGATTATCAATACAGTGAACATAGATATCAATTCTCAAACATAAAAACACTTGATCTCAACTATTGTAAAGTAACGGAACTGGCGTTTGAAACACTCATGAGATGCCTCCCGAAGCTCAAGACACTTGTCTTAAAAGATATATCAATCCAATGCCATATTCAAGGGAACGGATGTGTGACATGTTTTGGCCAAATGTTTCATTTGATCGCAAAACACACATCCATTAGAGTATTGAGTATTTATTACTTGAATTTGAGTGGAAAGACAGCCGTTTTGTGTCAACAACTCAATGAGTTTCGCAATTTATCGGCCATTCATTTGAATCATTTGGGAATTATAGGACCAAATAATTATGAAGAGATTTGCCAACAATTTATCACTGATTGCATCGATTGGTATGAAATACATCCGCAGAAATGGTTTACAATATGTGTTCACAAAAGTACCAAAGATTTCAGTATTGATCGACAAATATCCAGAAATTTGAGAATTAGAAGAAATATGTATTAAAAGCTCTTTATATAAAGAAAAAAATAATAAAATTATATTTTCCAAATCGTTGTAAATTTATTAATTACAATATTTATTATAATCGGTGTAAAACGCTGTATAAATGAATTTATTAAAATACTGATAATATATTTAGTCAAAAATTAAAACATTATTTTTTATTTACAAAAAGTCAACAAATTATTATCATAAGGAATATCAAGAATTTCCCTCAAAAATGGTCCCAAAATGTGTGGATTCTTACCCTCGCTATTGATTTGTTTATTTACTTCGTATAATATTTTCACGTCTTCTAAAAAATTTAAAATTTTCATAAATTTAGTCTTTGTTTCGCATTCCGAGGCTTTGTATCGGATTTGTAGATATCGTTGCAGTAAATACATGTATAACTGCTGTTGAACTCTATTGTAATTACAAAACCAGAAAAGTATATCAAATTATTGAAAATTAATTGTGAACTAATTTAATTAATATAACTAGTTCAGTTAACTAATTTAGTTATAATTACTTACTTAACACGTTCTCTTTGGATAAGGTTAGGTCGATTCGGATCGAAAAGTATTATAACCATCAACTGTTTATATTTTAATTATATTTGTATTAATTAGTTATTAATTCAGATAATTAAATACCAGATCAATAATATACGGATCGGAATCCCATTCGTTGCCAAACTTTTGCATAAAATTTTGAAACAAAAAATATAGATTCCGTTTCACCGGCTTTAATAACTCCAATGGAAAGAGTAATGCATTTATTTTGTCCTAAAATGAATGAATGAATTTAAAAAACATTAATAATTAAATCACACACAAAAATAACTACCATATTAACAGTCCAATACTCATTTGCGTAATCATAGGAATTGCAAATAAGCATATACAGGGTCTGAATGCCACCGTATTTGACCAAGGCCAACTGGTCATTCTCGCACAGGCAAGTAAATGTGCGCAAACACTTGGCCGCACTGACCACTTGGCCGATATACATCTCGACCTTCTGGAGCAATATATTGGCCACTTCTTCAATGGTGTTGACCACCAGTTTGTTTGGCCTCTCGTATGTATACCTTCGGGGAACTGTTTGGGCGAACAGTTCCATGAGGTAACTCCATTCCGGCTCAGTTAGGCTATGATGGTTACTAATGGCCCGGCATATTGGCAATACAGCCACTTCCAGTTCCACTGACTTGCGGTATGTGGCGGTGAAAATGCCCAATTCATCCTGGTCATTGTCATCATCGTTATTATCATAGTGACTAATGAGTTGATTCATCAAATCTTGGTTGTATTGAATGATATCAGTGGTGGGCTGAGTAGTGTTGGTGTTATCTGTTTCAAACACTTCCAGCAAACTATCGGATCCAGACATTGGACTCGGAGTAACACTTTTTTGGTCATATTTTTCATCTGTTTTGATGTTTTCTTCAATTATATCCTCTCTATTGTGTTTGTCGTCATTATTTACAATGAATTCCTATAGAAATAATATGTAATTAAATGTATTTATTTTAAATATTATTCTCAGTGATTGAATACTTGTTTCATTCCTACGGCATAACACTTCCGGAGTCGGCATTTGCGGCAAAATCTTCGCGTATTTTTATTGACAACACATTTGTTATTAAACGGACATCTCTTGCACTCCTTTATGGATATAAATATTAAAATTGTTTATTAAATAATGATTTCAATCATAACTTACATCAAGTTTGCCGGCGTTTCTACGATAAAAAGCTTTACACGACTCACAACTACGGGCACCGAAATTATTGCCTAAATTATGGTAATTTTTAAAATAATGTTTATCATAAATATTATAAACAAACTAATTATGATAATTTAGTTCAATATCACACATACTTAGCGCTCTGTCCCCGCAAATCAGGCATATTTTGCTTTTATCGTTCATTTAAATTATTTATTTTGGAGTAATATTTTTGTATAATTTATTAAATTCAAAATTATTTGTTTTTATACTACATTTAATTATTATATTTTTGCACAACAAATTAACACATAGTGTATGAACACTAATATGTAAACATTAGATAACAATCACCATGGGTAACTAATTTTGATAGCATATTTGTATAGGTCTTAAGTAACACAGCATATAATACATACATGTATCATTAAAACGTCGGTGAATTATTTATTTACATTACATCACAATTATCGTTTTGCATAGTCAAATAAAATGTAACATGTATTTTGAATAATTTATAAATAAATAATTGCTTAAAAGTTATATCAAAATGAAATACCAATATATTAATAACATGTTATCACTGATTGATTTCACAAATTTCTTAAATCTTTGCAATCATTAGATTTTATTACTTAAATGTAAAGTACAATTATTTTGCATTCAATAAACAAAAGTACTTTTAATTCAAGGACTTCTAGGTTTTAAATAATATGAATTTCAATTATAGTTATTTGAATTGAAAGTAAAAATCAAAATAAAACTTATTAATTAATCTATCGTAAATTTAACAACATATTTTATTTTATACTTTAAATTTTACCATGTACAGTTTTAATCTCGTTAAAAATTACGGTTATTATAGCAACTATTGGAATATCTTATTATATAATTTATTAAAGTAATAATTTTATTATCAAGATTTGAAATAATTTTGTTGATTAAAAATTTAAAATAAATATTTATTATATTAAAATGTATAAGCATAAATTAGAATTTAAATTTATATATTATCATAACATGGTATACATTATCTTACACTATTGATATGCAACTTATTATCACTATTGATATGCAACTATTATGACCACTATTTAAGCAATAGTTTTATGAAAGTATAAAAATCACCCTAACGAGTTAGCATTTGTATTAAACATTTTAAGTATTTGTTCAAACAATTAGTTTGGTGTTAAATTAGTAGTTGATTCATGTCTTCAGGCAAACCATGGGTGGTGTTTGTATTGGGCGCACCCGGAGCTGGAAAGGGTACCCAATGTCAACTAATATGTAAGGTATTATCACTTCACTTGATCCGAGGCTATCATTGTTTCTATTAAAAATAACGGCATTAGTGGTCACGGTTTGGTGATACCCAGCGATCATTTGGTGACCACTGGGCAACAGTCGTACCACACATTTAATTATTTGAATACTGTTTTTAAATACAATTAAAAAAGTTATTAATTAAATAGGAGTTCGGTTTCATTCACTTGAGTGCCGGCGACCTCTTGAGAGCCGAGTGTAACGCCAAAGGATCACAATATAGACAACTGTTTGAAAGCCATACGCGTAACGGCACTATACTTCCCGTTGAGATCACTTTGAAAGTGTTGGAAAAAGCTATGAAGAGCTCGTCCACCGGCGGTGAGCCGTCCGACGGAAGGGTCGGCAAGTTTTTGATCGACGGCTTTCCCCGAAACCAAAACAATTTGGACGGATGGCAGACAGCGATGACACGCAAAGCGGACCTCAAGTGTGTCCTAGTGTTGGACTGTCCGCCAGATGTATGTATTGATCGATGTCTGACAAGAGGCCGCACCGATGATAACACCGATATTCTCGGCAAACGGATTGATAATTATTTGTCCGACACTTTGCCAATTGTCGAGTATTACCGGCGCTTGAATTTGGTCCGCGAAGTGAATGCAAACTTTCCTCCGGACCAAGTGTTTCAAGACGTGCGGCAAATATTTCATACACTAAAGTGACGCCAAATAATGAAATTGTTTAAAATATAACTCCAGACTCATATGAATCATATGAAAAACACTAAACATTGTGTAATTCAATCGCTGTGACTGTAATTTAAAACATGTATACAACAGGTTATACTGTATTTACATCATCTGAAAGAAGACTAAATAAATACAATTATATAATAGTTATTTGATATATAAATAAACAATATAAAGATTTTCATAAAAAAATATTTAAAATTATTATGAAATAAAATTATATAATAGTCAATGTGTAATTTCAATTACATGTTAAATTACATGTTATATAATTACAGTAATAGTTACAGTAATTTACAAATTATATATAAATTATAATAATTGCAAAGAATTTATTTAAATAATTACAAACAATAAAATGGTAATAATTTAGAACATTCAGAAAACTAAGCATGAATGAATTAAAAATCAAATTACATCATGATCATTGTATTATCAAAACTACCAACAAATAAAAACAACACATCATAACACAGTATAATCATTATTGTTTGGGCAGTTGTCGAGTGCGGGCAAATCGAGTACTTCCCGGAGCAAAGGGCCGATCTGTGTGTTGTGATCCCTGCGATGGGCCTCTCTATGAATGGTCACAAATTTGCTCAACTCTTCCAACGAGTTAATTATCCTTAGAAACCTTTCCTGTGCCGCACAACTCGACCCGTACTTCATATGGAAATAGCGTTTCAATAAATACATGTATAACTGTTGCTGAAGTCTATGTACAATAAACAACATGATTAGTTACTGTAGCTATTATAAGTGTACTATTATGATGATCAAAACATGGATTCACTTACTTAACCATCTCTTTATGTATAAGGTTTGGTCGATCGGGGAACTTCTCATAATAACACTGGTTGACAATGGTATTTATTAATTAATTAATTTACAGTAAATCTATTAATTTAATTGTTATTTATGGTTTAGCTGTTGTATACCCAGCAATAGGGTACGCCACGGTTTCTTTTTGAAAAAACTTCTAAAAACATTGTAACCATCGATGCCATTTAGGTTGTGCAAGTCTTTCAGCAAGTCCAGTTTGCATTTAATGCCACCTTTAGTATCCTATGTATAACAAACATGTTCAATTAGGATAATATCAAACAAGTTAAATTTAATTACGTGAATAAATGTCCAAAACTCTTGGTCGTAATCAAAGTAGAGGGCTGTGCGCATAAGTAACGCCTCGATACTGCTATATTTGATCAGGGCAATTTGGTCATTCTCGCATATGGTCTGGAAAGCGGACAG